TCACACACAAAGTTTATGTGGAGCAGAAGCGGTCGGGCCACGGCAGGTGAAACGTTCCTAGCCTACATGAAGTGAAACTGTTTAATTTGTAACATTAATATGTTACTGGGTACGCTGGTCTGGTTGGTTAGACCAGTGTTTGAAGTGGAAAACACACACACACAGACCAATTAAAATAATGCTGATAGCATGGACTAGAAGACAGGTGATAGTTTATGTATTTAAATGATGATCAGGCTGCTGTAAAATGTAATCTCCATCCACATCCAGACACAATTATCCTCTATTCTTTCTCTATTTGCTCTGCTCTTGTCTGGGCTGACGTAGCTGATGGTGCGCGCGGAGCGCCTAACTAGCGGCTGATGCACATTTTACGCATTTGGAGAGGTGGGCTGGATGCTTTGCTTTTACAGGAAGATGATCCACTTAATGCACGGGTGTAGACTACATATTAATGACAAATGAATGAAAATTAAACTGGGAGTTTTTACTTCATATTTTAGAAATAAAAATGACAGGGGAACACATTTATGACGTCTTTTTAAACGAAATTTTCTAGCGCGACCTGCCTGCTTCACTTAAGTCACTGCTTATTAAGGTCCGTCTAAAATTACCGTGGCCCACCCAAAAATGAAAACCTGGCGCCGCGCCTGTTATAAACCTCTGCAAATTGTTGTTCTTCACTTTATCAAACTCAGACTTTGTACAGCTAATGTCAAGATGTAAAATTATGAATTCAGTCGAGCTCTTCCGTCCCTCCCTCTCCTGCTCTCCTGGAAACCCGACATCGGCTGTCAGAAGCGGGAGGTGAAGAAGGAGATGAGGCAAACAGAGTGAGTGCGACGTAAAGAAACCAGACTGGTGTGGAGGTGAGCAAAACAGCTGGAAAAGTGTGGGTGTTGAATCCCCCACGGGTGCGATGCCCATGCGAGCGACCGGTACTGGCTGCTGTCACCTGGTTGTGAGCAGCTCTCTGCTGTCTGAGGGTAGGCCCCGCCCACAACGCCACAGCTGCTGCGGTGTTTTCTTTACTGTGGGAAACGGGTAATAATGGCTCTTTGATGGGAACAGGTTGCCGACCCCTGGTATAAGATCTGAGCTGGTAAAACAAAAATCCTCATCAGCAGGCTTTTTTTAAAGTGGGGGGGGGGACACAGCTGCCAATCACAAAGTTTGCCTGGGACATGTCCCCGGCGTCCCCGGTTAAAATGACGCCCATGCTCAAGATCACTTGTACCCCATGAGGGGACAAGGGAGATCATTAGTGATCTTGTATTTATTCCATTTTCTTACAATCACTTCAACAGCTAATCTATGTTGATTGGCTCATCTCTGGTCTTGGTCATGGCCAAGGTGGAGGTTGGAGTCTAACGATTTGAAGGTGTGGACAGGTGTCTTTTGTACAGATAACAATTTCAAACAGGTGTTGCTAATGCAGGTGAGGAGTGGAGGATGGAGTAGCTACTTAGCTTTATTTATGCTGAGTGCAGGACAAATGCAGATCAGAATCAATGCGGTTTCCAGATCGTCTGCCTTTTACATCGGCTGCAGATTTTTTAGTGTGTGGAACGTCTCACAATGTTGCTCATGAGTTCATGAAATTTCCACTACTATACTATTCATACATAGACCTCTTGATGTGTGACGTCACACATATGAGATCCAGCCCCCAGCTTCTGGGTGGGGAGCATAAAAAGGCATATTCCCATTGATCACCATTGTTATTTGTCATTTGTCAATAAACTGAGTTAAATCACAACAAAATAAAGTCTATCAGCATGATCAACACATGCAGCACTGTAGGCTGCACAAGTAGACAAAAGAAAGACAATAACATACATTTTACAGGGTTCCAGCTGTTAAAATACACTATAGGCAATGTTCAACAGCCACAAAGAGAGTTTGTCAGAGCCAAAGACGAACTGTGTCGTGGCGATCTGCCAACATAAACCCGCACATCGCAGAAGTAATCTGGTTACACCTTTGTTGCTTCAGCTCTGTAAAGTCCAGGCATGTCAATCAAATAATCGTGGATTTGCCCATACTAGTGGCCAGCTCTGAGGACCTTCCACAGCTCGTTAGCTATTTCAAACGCATCTGGAAGCTTTGCGCTAAACACTGTTAGCTTTGAGTTGTAACTTTTTGATCATCTGCACAAAGATGTGTTAGATGATCTAAAATAGTGATATCTACATCCCTAGGTTTAACTTTGTTAGCTTAGAGCGTGGAGATACAGGCCTGGATAGTCCTCCAGCATTGTGTGAATGCGCGCTATTACCCAGGTGTAAACAATAACATTCAAAGGGTCTGTAGAGAGGAGATGGTAAACAAAAGCAACACTTATTCTCTTGTACTACCATATACTGTGAACTGATATCCGTGTCATTAATAACAACAAAAGAAGCCAACAGAATGATGCAACATGGGTTTTGTTTTGAAATTATCCAGATGCGGAAAAATTCCGCAGAATCCAAATCTGGTCTGCACCCCAGCCGGTGTAAATACTTTGATTGGACTCAGTGATTTTCGGTCTGCGTGGAAGCCTCGTCTGTAACGTACTAGGTGTAAATGAGGTTAAAAGAAGTAGCAGGTTTGTGAGGGCTAGAACTCTTGCTTGTTTGCAGATGCAAAATGCCTATTGTCGCCTCTGTCAGTGCACCCCAGGGCAGCTGTGGCTACATCGTAGCTCATCACCATCAGTGTGTGAATGCGTGTGTGAATGGATGAATGATACACTGTAGTGTAAAGCGCTTTGGAGTCCTTACTCTGAGAGGCGCTATACAAGTGCGGGTCATTTATCATTTATTTTATGCATCATTATACAAATAAATTCTTTAAAAATCATACAATGTGAATTCTTGGATTTTTATTTTTGGGGAAGTGATTAACGCTTTACCGCAGGGCTCTAAACTAGGACTTCTTCCCAATTAAATTTATTCAAGGGCTGGAGATTTTTTCCAGCAGACACCGTGAGGGCCAGACTCTTCTAAAATAAGTATTATTTTGTACATAAATAAAATAAAGTATAAAGTATGCTTGTATTGTAATTTACAGTATTAATATTTTATGGGACATGAATTTTGCTGCTAAACTTCAGAGCCCCCCCCCCCCCCCCCCCCCCCCCCCCCCAGCCCCCAATTGGGGGGCGTTAGGACCCAAGGGGCAGGGGGAAGGGTTGAGGTTCAGTGAATTACATCATTAACAGCGGTGGTCAGGTATCAAAATGTGCTCTTTATTTGTATGCAGATGACACTGTTGTCTGCTGCTCATCCCCCATCATTACTCAAAATCTAGAATTTCTACAGGCAGCTTCCGAGGTAGGAGAGTCTCAAATCTAAAGTCTAAAATTCATGAAGTAAATATAAATAAAATTAAGTGCTGAATGCTAAAAAATCCAAATGTATCTTATAAAATGGTAAGAGAACCACAACCAACCTTCCAACCTCGTCTCAAACATCCATGGAGTTCCTGTAGAAATTGTTACATCCTTTAAATACTAGAGTATTATAATTGATCAGAACCGTTCATTTCAATATAGAAAACCTTACCAACAATATTTATGTTACTGGAATCTAATTTGCTTCTCTTTTAAAGCAAAGAAACACCTAATCTCTGCAACCTTTCTACCTTTGTTAGATTGTGCTGGTTTGCTGTATTTAACTGCACCTGATAGATGGCTGAAGAAACTGAAGCCATTGAATCATAGTGCATTATGTTTTATCACTGCTCTCTACATGCTGCTGCGTCTTTGCCCTCTTATTATACTTGCAGGTTCACTTATTGGATGTCATTTGCTTATGAGTGTCTCCTTGGTCCAATTCCTTTGCAAAATAGCCAAGACCATCCTGGTCTGCATTCTAGCGCTGCCCTCCAAATGTCCATCCCTAGAACCAGAACAGAATTGGGTAAAATAGCTTTTAATGTTTTTCGATCCAGCTTCAGTTGGAACAAGCTTCAGAAGAAATAAAGCTTACTAATCTGATTTCACTAGATCAACTTATTACACTTTTAAAAGATCAAGACGACACTCTAGATGAACTGCCTCACACTGATTTACCCCAAACCTGTTGTAATTACATTTCATTGTCTCTGCTTTGTTGTAACCATAATGTGTTGAAACGTGACTTTGTGTAATTTCCTGTATTGTTTTCATGCTGCCTTCCTGGACCTGGTCGCTCTTGTAAATAAGACTTGACATCTCAGTGAGCCTCTTATCTTTTGAAATAAAGGAATGATGAAAACTTCAGACCTCTCTCACCTTTTTGAGTGGGACAATTTACATAGTTGGTGACCGCCACATACTTTCTGCCCCACTGTATATGTATTTATTAGCATGCTATAAAGTTTAATTCAAAATGTCCTGAAATCCAACCAACAAAACCTCTGAGTTACAAGCCTGGACACTGGAATCATAATCCCTACCAGTGTATTTATTACCCTTTCCTTGGATTTTATAATATAAATGGTTTGATACTGGATTTCAGATTAGTGAAGAATATATAATCTCAATTCAGTTATCACAGCACACCCTAAGGGTATAGGTGTAACATTACCTTCTTTTTTGACTTATTTCTCAGAATTTACAACAGGTAAAGAAAGGCTTTGCAGGGGTAGGCAACCCTGGTCCTAGAGAGCTGCAGTCCTGCTTGTTTTCCTACCATCTTTGTATTTCCTGCTGTTGATTACCTGGATCAGGTGTGTTCAACCGATTAGAAACTGCAAATTCATGCATGGCTGGAAAACATGCAGGACTGCGGCTCTCTAGAACCAGGGTTACCTTCCTGGAAGAAATTTCACATTAAACCTTGATCATTACTGCAGACTCTTCTGCACAACTTTGCAAGTTTTTTTCCTACAATATTGATGCTGTAATTACCACCTTTAGTAACCAACCTTCATAGGCATGCTGAAAACTGCTAAAGTTTCTTTTTTTATGTTTCTTGTTTTTTCTTTAGCATGCATCCAGGTAGGTTAGAACACACAAATGATAAAGCCCACAATTTGTAGAAAAATATATTTGTATTACAGAATTGCTTGTTATAAAACATGACATGTTAAATACAAAATTCTTGTCAGGAGTTTCTTGCTTAGAGGACTGCAGCAGGAGAAAGCAGACAGCTCTGCAACAAGGAAAAGAGAATTAATGATCAGCAATGCAGACATTGGCATAAAGATGCAATTATTTTTGCCTTACCTTCAACATAAAAGAGCAATTGTGTTACCTTACCACATCCATTGGTTTAAAAAGTGATGAAAGGAAGGTTTTAGGATATTTGCTCTTTAAGTGAAAATGAAGGTTTTTTTGTTTTGAAATGGTCTTTTCTCTGCTCCTTTTATGAGCTTTTTTTGTATTGTTTTGACTGCCATTATTTTTTTCATTTCATCTTTTTTTGTTTGTTTTTGGCAGAATGTTTTCAGACCATTTCAATTCTTTATTTTTTGTACAATTAAACTACAGTCTGGGTTTCTTTTAACTGAGGGCTCAACAAATGTGCGAGTGATCAGCGTCTGACATTTTCATACAATCAACCCGAAAGAAAAAAAAACACATTAAGAGCATTAAAAAGTTCAGCAATGTTGCATCTGGTTTACATATTAAAATTAAACAAACTGCACAAAATTCTGTCTATTACATGTTTTAGAAGAGGAAAAAAGGGTCTAAACAAAGTAAAATATGCCTTGCTGATTTACAAACAAGCACTGAGTAACGTTGCTGGATTGTTGCTCGTCGTCCACACCAGTAAAACCAGTGCAGACTGGGCTTCATCTGCGCCAGGGACGTGGCTCGTTGTCATCTTCTTCCTCATCATCATCTTGAAGCAAAGCGTCATCACTTAGCGACTCTTCTGGGTACTGATCAAGTAAATAAATAATTAGGATTACTATATGATAGAATACAAAAAAAATTTACTGTAAAATTACATTTAAAAAATATCTCAAATAACTGCTTAATAAGAGAAAAGGAGTTCATGCAGAATCAACATGAAGCCAAAACTTGCATCTCTTTAATGTGCAATGGCGCCCTCTAGAGTTCAACACAGAGTAAAAATGAAAAGTTTTCATGAGCTGTCTTTAAGTCCCACAGTCATCACCACACACTGGTGAAATTCATCTCCACATTCGACCCATCCCCAAGGAGGGGAGCGGCGAGCTGCCGCCGCAGCTGCGCTCAGGAACTACTTGGTGGTTTAACCCCCAATCCAACCCCTTAAAGCTGAGTGTCAAGCAGGGAGGCATCGACTCCCATTTTTAAAGTCTTTGGTAAGACCTGACCGGGAATCAAACCCCAATCTCCCAGTCCCAGGGCAGACACTCTACCACTAGGTCACTGAGCTGGTTCAGAATAAAGAATTGAGGAATAAAAATCCAAATGACATTTTCAATGCCAACATAAATTAATCACAGCCAGGTGAAGGTGCAGCTAAGTGGAACACCAACCTCTTCCTCTGGAGGTTCTTCTTCCTCAGCATCAGCTGAACTGACAGTCGGTGCAGGCTTGTGCCAGGCCAGCCGCAGGGTCTGGTTGTTAAATTTCACTCCATGCAGAGCCGCCTGCAGGTGGACCAGAAACATCCCAACAGAAGGGATAAACGGGCAAGTCTGGAACCTAAACCCGAGTCCTCACAGATGGTAATCTTAATATCAGACGATGGAAACTACAAAAAATCCTCACCTGTTCTGCTTCTGCTCTCGTCTTGTACGTGATGACCGCTGAGAGGTTGTTCTCGTCAATCTGGCAATCTTCTATCTCGCCAAATAGCTTCAAATTTACAAGAAACAAAAACGTCACATTTACTGAATAGCCTTCCTACTATTAAAGGCATGAAAAATGTATTTTCACACGAAGTTGCCAATTAAAAAAACAACAGATGGAATGCTTAATTTGTAAAAACTATGTTTCAACTATTGCAGATAGTTTGAGACACTGTTTTAGACTGACTTACAGCAAAGTGAGGCAGCAGGTCTACGCGGTCCGAGTCACTGAAACCAGAAATCTCGAGCGCTCGAGGTCGATGGTCTACGACTGCATGAAGAGGCACTCCCCTTCCTCGACCCCTGGAGCCCCTTCCCCGGGTCCGGACAACACCACGACCCCGACCAGGGACCCGCCGGCCCCGTCCCGATGAGAGGAGTCCCCTTTTGGCTGCCTGAGAAGCAAACAGTTGGCTTTCATTTTATGTAAACAACAGCACCCCCAAGTGGCTCCTGCCGGGACCTCTTCATTTTAAAGATTTTTTTTCCAGGATTAGTTCCATACCTCAATTTGGAGCTGGGTGTATTTGATCTTGAGCAAAGCGGTGTCCTCTCCAGCCTGGGTCTTCTGATACAGGTCCAGCTCTGTATCCAGCAGCTCTTTCTGTGCCTGTGAGTGAAAGCTGGTTAGAGCTATAAAGATCATTCAGGTTTGTTGAAGCAGGACTCTGATGTGTGCCCTACCTACCTGTGCCTTGCTCTTGGTGCTCCTCAGAGGGAGACTGCAGCTCGAGATTCCCTTTATCTCCTCCTGCAGTTTAGTGATGCTTTTAGTCAACATGCTCAACGTTTCCATAATCTTGGCCTTATCTTCTGCCTTCATCGCTTTGTTCTTCTCCAGTTTGGAGATCAGGAGCTGTCGCCAGCAGAAGCAGGAAAACGAAATGACCAAAAGCTCAAAAGTTAAAAATAAACACAAAAACTCCAAAGCTAACAGCAAACACTTTGAGGACTTCTGTAATAAATCTTACCTTCTGTGTCTCGATGTGCTTCTCCAATATTTCCTGCTTCTTCTTCCTTACATCCTGCTGTAGCTTTAGAGCTTCCTGCGACACAAATAAAATTATCTGAATCTTTCTGACCTTCTCTCCTCCCCCCCCCCCACCGACTCATTCAAGTCTCACCTGTTTCTTCTTCAAGGCCTCCTCCGAGGTCCTCTGGGCTGCCTTCAGAGCAGCGGGGTTGTAAACGGTCTTTGTGAGGCCCGTGGATGTAGAAAAGACCTGAGAGGGGAGATGGACACACACACACACACACACACACACCACGTAAAAATCTGCACAAATCTGAAAGTGATACATTTTTTCTGACCAAAGGGGAACACTGACCTTTTCAACAGAAGCAGCTGGTTTGGCAGAGAATCCTAGACGATCTTTTACCGACACTTTTGATGCATTCTGGAAAACAAAAAACAAAGACGTACACACTCCTTGTGTCGATTCTGACATGCAAATGCAATAAAGCACATCCATGCTAGAACCTTCCACACATACCTGAGAGGAAACGCTGGAATCCTGGGACGGCTCCGAGTTTACAGGCACCAGGGGTCCGAGGCGATCCTTCACAGACTGCTTCAGAGCAGCGACCGGAGGCTGCCCAACAACACAAAAGGTTGATTGTATGATAGAAAAAAACGTCTTAATTTCTAAAATTTTAGCTACATATTAAATCACTGAGTGAAAGAATTCCTCTCTGTACTGTCACTGAAAACTGAGACAGAACTGGCATTCAGGTTTATTAAAAGGTGCAAAAAAAAAAAAGATAAATAATGCGAGCCCGTAGGAAACAATGTGCTTTTGTCTGATGCCAAGCTTTGGGAATGAGTAAGGATACTCAGGAAGATAGTTTTACATTTGTTCCGCAGCAGCATAACAAGCTGTGAGTTTGTCGGGTTAGCACGCTGGAGCTGATTTTTAGGAAAAGTAAACCTTAAGTAACTGATATCCTGATATCTCTGTCTGGCCCCAAAACAAGTTCTTATCTGAAGCTGGTGCCCTTGAGCCTTTGAGGCTGAAGTGATTACTCCCCCTCAGAAGAAATGTGGAATGCTGCCATCGCCATGGCAACTCTGTCTCCCTATCCCAGCCTGGGCGGGACTGCGACCGGTGAAGGCCGTTGAATCGTTTCCAGGAGTCACTGTGCCATCCAACCCAAATACCTCCCACCCCTGTCCAAACGGAGGTGACTAGCGCTGCTCATCGCGGCTGCATGCACTGATGTGAGGAGAGTCCCCAACCCTACCGCCCCACCTACTGGACACTTATGTTGTGTGATGTCTGAAGTCTGTTGCATTTCTCTCTGAGGTGTTTTTTGCAGAGCAAAGCTGCCCTCCCTGTGGAGGGTAACTCTGATGTGCCTTTTTTTCCTCCACCTGAACCAATCCTCATGTAAACCCTCTGATCTTTATTAAGGTAGCGCGACTCGGGTTGCGAATGACCAGTCACCAATTCTTGTCATGTGTCTATGTATGCATGTATGTCTGATCTCAGAATTGTGTGTACTGAACCTCTAATTTCCCTCTGGGATTAATAAAGTATTTTTGAATTTAATTAATATAAAAATCTCAGACCACTCTGCCTCCCTTCATCCTGTTTTTTTAGTTAGTGCTGCTGAACAGATGCTAGATTGTTATAATTTTACCGTGGCGAGCTGAGGCGGAGGCAGCGGAGGCGGCTGCTGGGACCGTGGCTGGCCATGTCCATCACTCCCATCTTCACGAAACCAGTGCACCTTGATGAAGCGGTTGTTTAGAACAGCTTCTGTGCTCTGCATAGCCCGCTTGGCCTCGTCTGGAGAGGCAAACTGTATCAGTGCTCCCTCTGGGTCATTCTGATAAGCCACCTAAGAAACATTAGCAGCAACACAGAGATTATGAGTCAAACTGTAATCTCTGACGCAAGCAGGAGTCTGAGACTTCCCAGCCTCTGAACTAAGTCTGATTATATTTTAAAGGTGAAAAATAAAACGTGCAGCATGCAGAAAGATTGTCGATGCAAAAAGAGGAATCATCTTTTCATTCATCTCCAGATGAAGGATGAACGAATCAAATTCACTAACATTTTAACATTCTGATGCCAGAGTCGCACAGACTACAACCTACTGGAATTTCCACACCTACGGCATCACAAAGGGACTGACCTGCAGGTTGACAATAGTACCAAACTTGCTGAAATGTTCGTTGAGTTTGCTGATGCTGTTGAGCTCGGCGGGAATCAGACGAACGAGAAGCTTTGTGTTGGGAGAGAATGGACCTCTCTTGTGAAAGCCATGGTGGTTTGGTTTGTTGAAGTTGGGCCTGAGCAGAGAGAAGACATTGGGTGTTGTTCAGTTTTAGGTTTTAAAGACAGTTTATTATACCCCACCCCTTTATTTTTTGCTTACTTGTCAAACCAGGGCTTCTTGGGTGGAAGTCCAGCGTCGTGGGAGGGGGCTGGTCTCTTCCTCGGTTCAGACTCCATGACAATCCTCATGCTGTTGTTTGGGATCTTATCTGGAGAGGAGGGGACAAGGATTGACTCAATAAACAAAACACCCATGAGCTGAAATGATTGAGGTGGGAGTTACCTCTTGGCGGCTGGTCAACGTCCCCCATAGTGAGGCCAATCAGGTTTGGTCTTTGAGCATTGACTCGGTGGCGGTACACAGGTCTGGGTGTGTTAGTGATGCTGGGAGCCTCGGGGTTGTACACGTCGGTGTCAAAGTGGTCTGGTGAGGAGAGAGAAGATATTTTAACTCACAAAACAGCAAATAAATAAATAAAAAGTCTAACAGCTGATTTAGATTACAAATGCGGAGGCCACAGACTGTTACCAGGGGTGAAGAGTGGAACCGGGGCTTGTGGGAGCGATGAGCGAATCCCAGAAGTGACGATGGTGGGAACGGCGCTAGTGATGGAATTAGGAGGAGCATCCATGCCTGCTGGTTGCAGAGGAGGAAGCGGAGGTGGAGGACCTGTCTCACAGGAATTAAAAGATAATTTGAAAACTTACAAAATAAGAACCCAGTTTGGATTAGTAATCTGGTTTAACCGTTTTTGTCTAACTGAGCAAAAACTGAACTCTTACCAGCAATAGGTGGTAGACTGGGTGGCAGGGCACCTGGAGGGGGCACAGGAGGCCGAAGATTCACAGAAGGGGGGGGGTTCAACAGAGGTGGTGGTGGTGGAAGGCCTGGGGGGGGTGGCTGGTCCACACCTGGAATGGGAGGAGGCTGAAAGGGGAGCATACCGGGCAGATTCACCTCCTCTACCACCACTGGGTCACTCCCATGGTCAAAAGGACACATATCCCCTCGCATGCAGAAGCCCTTTTCTGTAAAATACAACAGAGCATCAGAAAGACTCCAATCACAAAAACACTTAATGGTGAAAGAAAAAGAGTTATTAGCTTTTCTAACCATCATAGTCCCGGCATCGCTTCCTCGGTGGAGGCCCCCTGTTAAAGGGGCCGCGATCCACAGGAGGCTCTGGGTGAAAGTCTGACCAGCTCTCGCTGGTGCTGCTGCTGTGGTGATGCGTGGGGGCAATAACCGTAATGGTGCTGCTGAGTGTTGGCACCGGGAAATGCGATGTGGTCACAGAGGACACAAGAGCTGCTGGAGTGTAGACTTCGCCGCCGTCGGGCCGGTCAGCTCGGTCGTGATCGTACCTCGGCTTTCCTGACTCTCGGTCTGAAAAACAGAATAAACAAACAGAAAAGCTCTAAATCAAACTATAAAACTCACAGAATGTTTACCGGTGTTGAACTAGACGTAAGTAAACACGTCTGACATGTTTAATTGGGTCTGCCCTTTCTACACGCCACCTCAGTTAATTCCTAAAAGTAAGAATAACTCATGACCAATTTTAATTCATTTTTGTGCAACATTTTAAAATTTGGAAACACACACCGACTCTGAAGTTTGTGTGAACTTGACATTTACCCCGACTCCTGCTTCTGGACCGCGTCCTGCTGAGAGACTGGCTCCTGCTGCGATCCCGATCTCGGTCCCGGTCTCTGTCCCTCTCCCTGTCGCGGTCTCGGATGCGCTCCTTGCTCCAGCTGCGGCTGCGGCTCCGGCTGTGGCTATAGCTGCGGCCTCTCCTGCGATTGTAGCGATCGCGGTATGAGTCTCTCCTTGGAGGGTTGCGATCATAATCCCTCTTCCTGGAGCGATCGTCTCTCTTACGGTCATCTCTCCTGAAAGTGTGTGTGAAGACAAAACAGTAAGAAAAACTTAACAGTGCTTTAAATAAAGAGTGGAACACAGGAGATCTCCACCACCTGACGTCTCTCGAGTAGCGAGAGCTTAACTGTGGAGGGCTATGAGTCACTCGTCGAGAAAACTTCTTGTCTCGGTCTTCTTCGCGACTTGCCTGAACCTGTACAAAGCAAAGAGATAAAACCTGATCAGTGACGTATAAAATTAGCTTTAAAAACAGACCTCTCCAGATTCAGCAGCCTAGTGGTATGAGTGTCCACCCTGAGACTGGGAGATTGTGGGTTCAAGTCCACGGTCGACTCATGCCAAAGACTTGGGACCCAATGCCTCCCTGTATGACACTCAGCATTACGGGGTTCAGTTAGGGGCGTTAAACCACCAAATGGTTCCCGAGCGCAGCTGTGACTCCAGCTCACCGCTTCCCTGGTGGATGGGTCAAATGCAGAGAACAAATTTCAAACACCAGTGTGACAACTAATGAGACTTAACTTTAAATACATAAAACCAATGATTTAATATGTTACAGACAGAGCATGCTTTTGAAAAGACAAAAGTTAACCCTATTCCAGCTTCACTGGCTGCCAGTCAACTTCAGGGTTCATTTCAAGATCCTGGTTCTGGTCTATAGGGCCCTACATGGACAAGCACCATCTTACATTGGTGATCTTCTCAGTCCCTACACCCCCAGCAGGTCCCTGAGGTCCAGTGATCAAAGCCTACTGGTTGTGCAGCACCAGGCTGAATAACAAAGGTGACAGATCATTTGCTGCTGTGGCCCCCAGACTCTGGAACTCTCTCCCCCTGAGCCTGAGATCAGTGGACTCAGTGGTCTCCTTTAAAAAGCAGCTGAAGACTCACTTGTTCAAGTTGGCTTTGGTGTGACCTTCTGTTGATTCTTCATCCCTACCTTCTCCTCATTCAACTCTTTCTACCAATTCTGCAGTTCCCAGGATCCACTGGTTACCTTTAATTTTCCATTTTCTTTTTTCCCCTTTTCTCACATTTTAAAATCACAATTTAACGGAAGAGGATTAGGGCTGAAAGAAAAGAAAATTCTGACTTTTTTCCACAAAATTCTGACTTTAATGTCAGAATTCTGACATTTTTCTGAGAATTTTGACCTTTTTTTCTTTACAGAATTCTGGCATTTTTTCACCAAATTCTGGCTTTAATCTCCGAATCCTGGTGTTATTAATCCTGAGAAAAAAAAGTCAGAATTCTGAGAAAAATGTCAGAATTTTGACTTTTTTTTTCTCTCAGAATTCTGAAAAAAAAAAAAAAAGAAGAAGAAAAGTCAGAATTCTGTCATTTTTCTCTGAATTCTGACTTTAACAATCCTGGGGGGAAAAAAGTCAGAATTCTGAGATTAAAGTCAAAATTATCTTAATCTTTTTTTCCAGTGGCCCAAATCCTCTTCCGTAAAAATTTTACTTTTCCCATCTTCATGATATTTAGGCCCGAGCAGCGAAAGCGCTGCGAAGGCCTCTTGTTTTTGCTCTGATTAGGCCCGAGCAGCGAAAGCGCTGCGAAGGCCTCTTGTTTTTGCTCCGATTATTAGGCCCGAGCAGCGAAAGCGCTGCGAAGGCCTCTTGTTTTTGCTCTGATTATTATTAGGCCCGAGCAGCGAAAGCGCTGCGAAGGCCTCTTGTTTTTGCTCTGATTATTATTATTATTATTTATTATTCCGTGCGCGAAATGAATGGCTTTTTGGGGACCTTAACATACCCCAAAACTCACAATATTTTGCACAATTGTCAGGCCTGGTGAAAAATTTGATATTTTAAAGGTCCCAAAAAAATCGCAAAGAAAATGGCTGAACAGCGCCCCCTACAAAGTGAAAAAAACCCCTCTCCATAAAGCTTAGTTTATCGTACAGTTATGAAATTTGGTACACTTGTAGTACTCAACAGTCCGCACAGAAAAGTCTCTTGCAAGCATGGTCAATATCAAACAGGAAGTCGGCCATTTTGGGATGAAATGGCGATTTTTGGCCGTTTTTGCCGTTTTTAGGGTCAGTCTCTGATTGGATTGCTCGATCAATTTTCGCACGATCGTCTCAAAAATGGTATAAAATTGCTCAGAAGAAATGGCCGAACAAAATGAGACAAGGATTCTGAGTTTTCGTATATGCTGAAGGGGCGGGGCCAGGCCTCGAAGTTTGACTACTCGCCAAAAAAATTAAAACTGCTATAACTTCATAATTGAATGGAATAGAGTTACCAAACTTTCTGTGGTCATTTGTCATCCTCCCACAAAGTAAAATGAATGGTCGGATGATGACATCACACAAGCCCCGCCCCCTCAGGACCAAAAAGGTCAAGTTTTACTATGAAAGGTCCCAAATGGCCCCATTTCACTCAATCCCCACAAATTTGTAACTGTTAACTCAAGACAAGTGGGGGTTGCTTGGCGTCACTTTATGGGAGTTTTCGACAGAGGGCGGGGCTGTGGCGGCGCGGCGAAGTCAGGCGTACCGCCGTGGCCTTACGTTTGCCTCCCATTTCGTCATTTCTAAAAATATCGTCACGAAACTTCTTGTGAGTGATCCTAGTCCGGCCCCTCAAAAGAACTGATGTGAACATCCGGTGGGCGTGGCCTATTTTCTGAAATAGCGCCCCCTAGGACCTTTAAAACTGTCAGCCCCAAGCCATGCTTTGACTGAGGATTACGAAATTTGGTACACTAATGTGGTGTCTCAGGACCTACAAAAAAGTCTCTTGGACCCAAGTGCAAAGTCGTACAGGAAGTCGGCCATTTTGGTCCAAGTACGCGATTTAGTGGTTTTCGCACACGTTGTTTGGAGAGTGATGCTCCGTCGTCCTTTTCACCAATCTCCTTCAAACTTCTGCCATATGCTCTTAAGTCATCGGGGAAAAAATTCAACCGTCGGATTTTTCAAAAGTTGAAAGGTGTGGGCGTGGCTAAGCCTCAAACTTTGACCTTTCGCCACGCCACTCTTTTTTTCACAGCTTCCTATTGGACTCCTTTTACCCAATCACCAATAATCTCTGGCAAATAGCAGTAGACAACTTGAGGTCACTTGGTATCCAGTACTGGCAGGTTTCGAGTAAAGGCGGGGCTTTGGCAGCATGGCGAAAATCACCATCACGCCATGGAAATACGTTTGCCTCTCATTTCTTCAGTTATTGTGATAGCGCTACGAAACTTCTTGTAAGTGATCCTTGTCTGACCCCCAAGAGACAAACATAGCTGAAATTTGTGGGCGTGGCCTATTTTCTTAAATAGCGCCCCCTAGGACCATTTAAACTAATAGCCCCAAGCCATGCTTTGACTGAAGATTACGAAATTTGGTACACTAATGTGGGGTCTCAGGACCTACAAAAAAGTCTCTTGGAGCCAAGCGTAAAGTCGCACAGGAAGTCAGCCATTTTGGTCCAAGTACGCGATTTAGTGGTTTTCGCACACGTTGTTTGGAGAGTGATGCTCCGTCGCCCTTTTCACCAATCACTTTCAAACTTCTACTATATACTCTTAAGACGTAGGGGAAAAAATTCAACCGTCGCATTTTTCAAAAGTTGAAAGGTGTGGGCGTGGCTAAGTCTCAAACTTTGACCTTTCGCCATTACTTTACTTGACTTAATAACTCCCATGTGCAAGATCAGATCTTTTTCAAACTTTGTCTGTGTGATCATTGACCATATCTGTAAAAAATGACAATGTGGACAGCTGACATCACCTAAGCCCCGCCCCCTGACCACAGGAAGTCTATTTTTTTATGCTGAAATGCCCATATTTGTCCCCTCTAATTTAGTCAACAAGACACCAAGGTCATGCACTGTCTTCATGATGCTGTATTGACCATTCAGATCTGATAGCTTTCCAGAAAGGGAAGGGCTTTGATGCCATGGCGAATTCTGGCGTAACGCCGCACCCTTACAATTCAATTTAATGGTGAGCTCAGAGGGGATGCTGAGTAAGGGTGAGGTGCGGACTAGGAGGCCATTTGCGGTTTCTAGTGTCGGGGCGGTTGACGTTTCTGTTCTGCCAGACGTGCCCTGGTGCCCCGGGCTGTCGGCCAGGCCGGAGCGGCGCGGAGCTGCGAGGGCCGAACGACGCTGCTTGCAGCTTTAATTAGGCCCGAGCAGCGAAAGCGCTGCGAAGGCCTCTTGTTTTTGCTCTGATTATTATTATTATTATTTATTATTCCGTGCGCGAAATGAATGGCTTTTTGGGGACCTTAACATACCCCAAAACTCACAATATTTTGCACAATTGTCAGGCCTGGTGAAAAATTTGATATTTTAAAGGTCCCAAAAAAATCGCAAAGAAAATGGCTGAACAGCGCCCCCTACAAAGTGAAAAAAACCCCTCTCCATAAAGCTTAGTTTATCGTACAGTTATGAAATTTGGTACACTTGTAGTACTCAACAGTCCGCACAGAAAAGTCTCTTGCAAGCATGGTCAATATCAAACAGGAAGTCGGCCATTTTGGGATGAAATGGCGATTTTTGGCCGTTTTTGCCGTTTTTAGGGTCAGTCTCTGATTGGATTGCTCGATCAATTTTCGCACGATCGTCTCAAAAATGGTATAAAATTGCTCAGAAGAAATGGCCGAACAAAATGAGACAAGGATTCTGAGTTTTCGTATATGCTGAAGGGGCGGGGCCAGGCCTCGAAGTTTGACTACTCGCCAAAAAAATTAAAACTGCTATAACTTCATAATTGAATGGAATAGAGTTACCAAACTTTCTGTGGTCATTTGTCATCCTCCCACAAAGTAAAATGAATGGTCGGATGATGACATCACACAAGCCCCGCCCCCTCAGGACCAAAAAGGTCAAGTTTTACTATGAAAGGTCCCAAATGGCCCCATTTCACTCAATCCCCACAAATTTGTAACTGTTAACTCAAGACAAGTGGGGGTTGCTTGGCGTCACTTTATGGGAGTTTTCGACAGAGGGCGGGGCTGTGGCGGCGCGGCGAAGTCAGGCGTACCGCCGTGGCCTTACGTTTGCCTCCCATTTCGTCATTTCTAAAAATATCGTCACGAAACTTCTTGTGAGTGATCCTAGTCCGGCCCCTCAAAAGAACTGATGTGAACATCCGGTGGGCGTGGCCTATTTTCTGAAATAGCGCCCCCTAGGACCATTAAAACTGTCAGCCCCAAGCCATGCTTTGACTGAGGATTACGAAATTTGG